AAAAAATGTAATGGTGGTATATCATTAATTTCGTATTGTAAAGTACCAGAGATATTCGAAACCAACAACAGAGACAGTAGTATATAGTTTTAAAAATGGAAGTGGACCGGCCGGTGTCCACCTCCACCGCGATTTCCACCGCGATTTCCACTGCGACCTCCTCGGTGACCGCGATTTCCTCCTCCTGTTCTACTCCACCGTGGTGCTGTAACAACAAAAAACAAATATAAAAATATAATTCTTTAGTTTTCAGAGGTAAAAAATAAAAAATAAAACTTACGTAGAACTGGCATGTAATTTTGTCCCACTCCCATTTGCTGCCACTGCCATTGTTGCTGCTGCTGCCGCTGCCAATTCTTGATCTCTGAAAAGAATATTAAAATTAGTTATATTTTTTTAAACGGATATTTTTATATAATTTTTTGTTAATTACCTTTTACGATATATGGTGGTAGATACGATGTATCTACCACTGGTGAAGGTGATGCTGATGCTGGTGGCAGCGGCGGCGGCGGCGGCGGCGGCTGCTGCAATAGTGTTGGTAACTGTAAATACTTTTGCGGCGGTGGCCCCGATGACGGCGGTGGCCCCGATGACGGCGGTGGCCCCGATGGCGGCGGTGGCCCCGATAACAACGGTGGTTTCGATGATGACGGCGGCGGTGACCCCGGTGGCAGGGATGGCATTGGTTCTAATTGCCCTTGGCTATCGCCATATTTTTCCTTTAACTGCCTCAATTATTCTTTCAATGCAGCGATTTCTGCATTTTCAGCAGAAGTCGCTGCATTGGGAGTGTTTTTCTTTTTTTCGCTTATTTCTGTAAAAATTAAAATATTTTTCATATTATACTAAATAATTATTATACTAAATAATTTTTTTCTCGTACTTACTTTTTTTTTCTGCGTACTCTTCGCTTCACTTGCTGCGGCGACATATTGGTTTCACGTTTCACTTAATGTTAGCCATGCCCTCTTATGGCGTTTTGGTTTCACTTAATTGTTGTTAGCCACGCCCTCTTATGGCGTTTATCATTGTTAGTAGTGACAAAATGCAGTTTATGGCCGGAGCACAGACTTTGCATAAAGCATAACGCAT